CTTCTTGTCCATATTCTTCTTAAACTTCTTAAACCAAGGAGGAATGGAGCAGTACTAATACTTCCCTTGATTGTAGTTCTTGATAGCCGTATTTATTATTTGATTATTTACTCTATGTATTAAATTTATATCCCACCCTTCCTCCCAAAAGGATTCCAGAGTAGCAAACACACAAGCAGCAAAACAAAACATCTTAAAGAAACTAAAAACAATTCCAATACAGATGCATACTGGAAAAGATCTCCCATTACAGTGGTACCTCGGGTTACATACACTTCAGGTTACATACGCTTCAGGTTACAGACTCCACTAACCCAGAAATATTACCTCGGGTTAAGAACTTTGCTTCAGGATGAGAACAGAAATCACTCGGTGGCGGCACGGCAGCAGTGGGAGGCCCCATTATCTAAAGTGGTGCTTCAGGTTAAGAACAGTTTCAGGTTAAGAACAGACCTCCAGAACGAATTAAGTACGTAACCAGAGGTACCACTGTATAATGCTTGTGGAAAGAGGAAGGCCTTCAGCAGGTGCTTAAAAGACAATGAAGGCAGCACCTATCTAATATTTAACAGGAGAGAACTCCAAAGGGGAAGTTATAGAGCACTAAAGACTTGATTCTTATATTGTGCACAAGGGACCTCCTGAGAAGATGGCATTTGCAAGAGACCCTGATCCTCCATTAATTTGTCTAAAGCCATCCAAGTTGGTGACCATCACTAAATCATGTGGCAGCAAATTACACAAACTATGTACTGTGTAAAGAAGTACTTTATTTTCTTCTTCTTTGGATGGCCCTGTGTTCTAGTGTGATGAGAGAAAGAGAAAAACTTCTCTATATCTATTTCTACACACCAGGAATAATCTTATGCACCTCCTTTATGTCTCCTTTTACTTCCCTGTTCTCTAACCAAATGTTATCACATATCCTCATAGGAGAGTTGCTCCCAGCCCATGATCATTCTTGTTATCCTCTTCAGAAACTTTTCCAGTTCTACAATATCCTTTATGAGGTGAGGTAACCAGAACTATGTTCTGTATTTGAAATGTGGTTGTATAACAGGATTGTGATAAGAAAAGGAATATACTGCTTTCCTAATTATGCCTAACAGGGAATTCACAGCTGGGTCAACATCATGATTGAGCCATCCATTATGACCTCAAGCTCTTGTTCCTCTTCATTCGCCATGGGCATCCCAATGTGCATCACTTTACATTTGCTTACACTGAATTTCATTTGCCATTTTACTGCTGGGCCTCTACACAATCCCTTTTTGCATTAAACACTCTGAACAATTTTGTATCACTAGCAAGCATGGTTATCTTGCGGCTTACCCTAACTCTAGGTCATTTATGCACAGGTTAAAAACCATAGGTCCCAATATCAATCTTTGAAGGATTCCATTTTCAACATTTCTCCATTGGGAGAACTTTCCATTGAGTTCTACACTCTGCTTCTCCGTTTATCCCACGACTGCTAAGCTTACACAGGAGTCTGGTGAGGTACTTCAGTCTTAGGATCAGCCTCCAAATAGAAAAAAGCCTGTGAGGTCATTATTGGTCCAATTTCACCATTCAGAAAAGCACTAGGGATGGAATATTTATGGCTGGAGTGGAAAGTAAGCCCAGCTTTCTTATACTATAATTTATCCACTCAGGTCTGGCTGAAGAGGGACTGGAAGAGAGATCTTTCCATCACTACATAATGAAAGGGCATATGTAAAGGAATGCTCTCTCCTATTCAAACCTCCCAAGGATGTGTTGGAGAGTGCCAGCCAGTGTTCACAATTAGCTGGGCACGTTTTGCAACTGCCGTGGGTCCAACTGCAACCTGGAGATACCTGGATGCCAGGTTGGCAATGGACATCTCCACCTGGCTGCCCCTCTTCTTTCTTAAGCAGGTAAGCAGAAGAGCTTATTTATTGCATTTACATCCCACCTTTTCCTCCAAGGAATACATGGTTCCCTCCTCAGTTAATCTCTACAACGACCCTGTGAGGTAGGTTAAGAAGTTGTGACTGGCCCAGTGAGCTTCATGACTGAGTGGAGATTTGAACCCTGATCTCCCAGGTCCTAGTCCAACACTCTAACCACACTGGCTTCTGCTATGGGGCAGCTCTATAAATTAAGTAGATAAATAAATAAATATGGGAAAAGCAAAATGTCACTTAGAGAAGCATCTGAAATATTTTCCTTGAAGCTTGAATTAGTTTTATTTGGGATTGTTTTATTTGATTTTTAATGTGTTGGTATAGAAATGAAATGAAAAATAATTATAATAATAAGGCTCACTGTGGAGGAAATGGCACCTAGACATTCTTCTGTGGCAACCGTAACCTAGGTTTATGGTGCCATTTGGCAGTTACCTTATATATTTGAGTTTCTAACACTGGCCACAGCTCCAGACTCCTTCCATATGAAAGCTTAAATGTTATAAACAGAGACACAAAGAGCTAAGAGGGGATGTTATGCGACTATACTTTCTATGAAATACAACTGTAATTTCTAATGGACTCTGCTTGCTTCATAACAATCATCACTGCAGACCATTGAAGCCCTATCAATAACTGAAAATGTGTCATTTAAAACAAAAACAAAATTATTAATGTAATATCTGAGAAAATGTTTATCTCTACCACAGTTTGAAAGTTTATTTCATACCACCAGATTGAAAAATGAAGATACAACAACTTCCTTCTGTCTAACACCCAAACACGCTCGTGAGAATCAGGCCTATAGGTCTAACGAAAACAAATACAAATGATAAAATACAGATTTCCCCTCAACTTATTTTCTTAGGCTGCAATCCGACAACCTACCTCAGAGTAAGCACCACCGAATTCAATGGGATGTACATGCTCCTTAAAACAAATACCTGTAACATATAAAAGCCTTCTGACAGACTGGATTAAATGCCTCCATTGCAACTCAGTGTATCTCCTTCTTGGCCCAAATATCCTAGCTATAGGACAGATACATGAATATTGTCTGACATAAACAGACAGCAGAAGTACAATCATAAAGCACTCCTACACATTTACTCAGAAGCAAGTCTCAATGAGTTTAATGGAGCTTACTCTGAAGTAAGCAGGTACAGGATTATAGGCATGATGCGCATGACACGAATAGACAGCACTGCAAATAAAGAACAAGACAAAACAGAAACACACATATTACACTTAGGGATACATACAGTGGTACCTTGGGTTACATATGCTTCAGGTTACACACGCTTCAGGTTACAGACTCCGCTAACCCAGAAATATTGCCTCAGGTTAAGAACTTTGCTTCAGGATGAGAACAGAAATCATGCTCTGGCGGCGTGGCAGCAGCAGGAGGCCCCATTAGCTAAAGTGGTGCTTCAGGTTAAGAACAGATTCAGTTTAAGAACGGACCTCCGGAATGAATTAAGTACTTAACCCGAGGTTCCACTGTACTTCCATTACAGTGCAAAATACTTATGCATGTGGAGGTCAAATTCTGATCTCATTACTAAAAAAATATTAAGGAACAATATGATCAATTTGCACTGAAAATAATTTAAAAAATCAAAAGAGCAAGTAACATTTTTTTCTCGTCTGCTATATTTTTAGACTCAAGAATAATAAGCTTCCTTGTTTCTCTTCATAATACCCCTGTTTAATCAGAGTGGGAAATGAGCCTGAGAGGCACCTTGACACCCAGTGATGAGCCAGGACCCAATTCATATCCTCCACGAAGAAAGCCAAACAACTATCTTCACTGGCCTACCAGAAGCATCTCACAAGAGTCAAGAGAGAGAAAAAGAACTGAGAGTCCTCTACACTGCACAGTTGCCCACCATACCCACCATCTGGAATCTGGCCTTTTGCTAGAGAGACGTTATCTATATACATTAACAAATATTAGACATGAATAATTCTAGATTGAGTGCAAAACAAGCAAACATTTAAGTACCAGTTTATTTAAGAGTTAAATAAAATTTCAAGATATGAAAACAAACGAGTTCTCATATAGAATGGACCTACTTTTTTCATATTGCTGGGGTGAAAGAATGCTAGCCTCCGTCAACAGCTAACTGGTTAAAACAATCATGTCTTCAGTTGTTTCATGCAGAACTACCCAGACCATTCCAAATATCCATTCCATAATTTAAGCATTCTGAAATACCTTTTTAAAGACACATATTAATTTTCTTCTAATTTATTGGCTATTTGCATTTAATTGTATGCCACAGGCCCAGGTTAAGTGTTGCTAATTACTGCACTGTTGTGGGGGAGGGGGGAGAAAGAAGAGGCTGATGAAGACACAAGAGTTTGCTACCAGATGACATCATCGGCCCTGGCCAAATCTGAAGGGTCAAGTGACAACATCTTTTCCCACACTCTGTTGCCAGAGTACCAGTGAAGACCAAAGAGCCCAGTACCATTTCTGTAGCAAATAGGACCATATTCCTTTTCTGTGAAGCCACATATCCTCTTGTGGCGTTACTATGGCATGTGGTGGGAAGCTACGGCACAGGCTACCACCCCAGCCTTCGGCTTCAGGAGGGTCTCCATAGAAACATCTACAGGTGTGACATTTCTGCAGTGATCCAGTGGCACTTTCAAAGAAATCATAATCATGCCAAAGCACACATGCACACAAAACCAAAAACCCAGTTTCCCTCTTAGCTGCTGTTGCAGATGCATCACGTTCGACAGGCACATGATAGCTCATTGCACTCTGCTCCCCCGTTCATAACTGTCAGATGCTTATTCACTCTGATCCTTGCCAGGTCGTCTTTTGCAGGCAGCAGAGGGAGGCAGAGGAGGAGAACAGTATACAACCCATGTGCATATGTGGATGGGGACCCACACACAAACGCAACGGTTGTGCAGGCAACCGGCAGCAGGATGGCCTAGCAGCCTTTCTTTGCCGGTGCCCCCCTCCACTATACGGAGGGTGTTCTCAAATGCTGGGGAGCCATGATCAGTCCAGCAACCTACTAGATACACCCCCCCCCAAACACACACCTTGGTACATCACCCATTTATTTGTTTGCTGGAAAAGCAAGCCGGGTCCAGCCGACTCTGGCTCTTTTCCCTTACCTGCTCCTCCTCGAGCCAAGCTCCAGCATCCCGGCTCAGGAAGGCATTTCCGAGCAGCTGCGAGAGGCGGGCGGGGGGGGGAGAGAGAGAGAGAGAGAGAGAGACAGACGGAGCTTCTGCAATGCAGACACTGCCTTCTTCCCCTCGCAAACCCGCCCGGCTTCGCTCTCCGCTGCCCGGTCTCTCTCTCTCTCTCAAAGAAAGGCGAGCGAGGAGGAGGAGGAGGAGGAGGAGGAGAGGAGAGGAGCGGCGGCCGCGAAGGAGACCCCCCCCCGCGCCGCCCTCCGCTCGGGCCCCGCGCTCGCCTCCCCCGCCGGGCGGCTGCTGCTGCTGCTGCTGCTGCTGCTGCTGGGCTCGGCCGCGGAGGAAGGCCGGCGGGGGCGACCCGGGAGGCTGCGCCCGAGGGGAGGAGACGCGCCGCCGCCCCGTCCCCCGCCTCCCGCCCGAGGGCGGAAGCCGAGCAGGCGCCCCTCCTCACCTGCCGCGGGCCGGACGGCCGGGCTCGACCCCTCGCCACCAGGCTGCCGCCGCCGCCGCCGCCGCCGCCGCCTCTCCCCATGAAGTCGCCGCCGCCGCCGCGGCGCACCAGCCAGGCCCGGCCCACCCGCCGCCGCCGCCGCCGAGGTGATGGGGCGGCGGGCTCCTCCTTCGCCGGCGCAAGGACGGGCGAGGCGCGGGCGCCCGAGGGGAGGGCGAGGCGCCCCAGGCGGCGGACACAGACTGCTGGACTGATTACTCGAGGCGGCCTGCGCACAAAATAGGGGGGGAAGTCCATGGAAAGGGCAGCCGTGTGATGTCGTGTAAAGTGTCCACAGATAAAATAGGGGGAAAGCTTTAAAAAGAAGAAAATGGAAAAGGCAATCATTAAAATGTAATTATAGTCAGGTTACCAGATTTTTTTCCAACGAATCCGGGGTCACTTTAATTGTTAAATAAATAAATACTACACGTTTGGGACGTTGATGCTGCAACGATGGCCCCCGCCTTGACCTCAGCCACCATGTTTCCCCTTCCTCCCAGGCTCCTTTCTCCATGAGCCTGGGCAGCCCCGGAGTTGTTGGTTCTTCGGTGGTGGTGGGGAAGCGGTGCATGGAAGGCGGAGGAGGGCCCAGAGCAGCGGCAGTGGTGAGGCTTGGGCAGCGCGATGCCTCCCTTCCCACCAGAGCAGCCCCAATCCCATTCCTACTTGCATGCAGGGATCCCTCAGCTGGGAAGGGAGGCTTCCCCTTGCCTAACTGAAAAATCCCTGGCCCCTTCTGCTTGCACGCAAGCTCTGATAGGCAGCGTGAAGCCTCCCTTCACAGCTGAGAGATGCCTGTCCCGCTCCTGCTTGCACACAAGTAGGGGTTGGGAGGCTGTGCCGATAGGCAGGCAGCATGAAGACTCCCTTCACAGCTTAGCTGCTGGGGTCAGGGAAGGTGGAGGCAGCCCGGAAGCTGCACCACCATCATATGGGGACTTCCAAGCAGCTCCTGAAGCCAGCCAGAGACAACTGCTCTGGGCTGCTGAGACTGCCGCTGCTGCATTTCCCAGGGACATTAGATTAAATCCGGGGACGTTCCAGGGATGGAATTTGTCCAGGGACTTATTCACAAATTCAGGGACTGTCCCCGGGAAATGGGGACATCTGGTAAACCTAAATTATAGCTCCTTTGTTAAAAAAAGAGGGATGTAAATGTAACAAGATTAATTCAGCACATGGCACATGGCAATGGCAAAAACAACAAGGGAGCTTGACGGTTTCACCTGGTTGTAGAAACTCACTTGAGGTGATGTTGCCAACAGTCCCTCTCCCCCAGGAGGCAGGGATGGCCACCAGTGTGGATGGCTTTAAAGGAGGATTAGATAAATTCATGGAGGAAGAGAGGGCTATCAAGGGATACCTGCCCTGATGGCTCTGCTCTGCCTCCACAGTCAGAGGCAGCAATGTTTCTGAATATCAGTTGCTGGAAACGACAGGAGGGGAGAAGGTTCTTGTGCATGAATCCTGCTTGATGGTTTCCCACAGGTTATCTGGTTGGCCATTGGGAGAACTGGATGCATACTTGCTGGTGGTGTCAGAAACCCAGGGTTTATGGCACAAAACAAGAAAGAAAAAACTATTTGGCAGAGGTTTGGAAGAGATACAACAATGCTGACCACAAACTCTTTGCTCCATACTGCATCGATGGCATTGGCAGTTGTGCACTGTCTGAGCAGGAATTTGAACTTTGATCTTTCAGATTCCATTGTGGCATGTCACTCCTGAAAGGTAGGAATGTTGGAGAGTGAACATTTGAAAGAAGAGAAAGGGGTTTTATGGTTCACTGTACTCTTAAGCTGCCTCCCATTCACTTTAGCAAGGTTTGGACAGGAGAACATCCCAGGGGATTGTGCCCCGTGAGTGTAAATTGTTTGTTTCCAAGTTGGCCGCCATAAATGGTGCCACAAATCCACCCCCCGAGTCCAACTCACACTATCTCATGATAGGGCTATTGCTGGCAGCACACAAATTTTCTGCACACTGCCCCAGTTCTAGCAGTTTTCAATGCCATGGTAAAAATTGTCCACATGCATTTACACATCTGGCAGACAGAGCGTCTTCCAGTGCTCTTCAAATTGTATGTGCATTTGTGTAATCTGAATAGATGCAGAGGAAGTCCTAAAAGTGGCTGTGTGAATAAGCAAAATGGGAAAGAAAGAAACAGAACAAGGGGTGCCATTTAGGAGGAGTTGGGGGAACCCCCCTCAAAAATGTTTTAGACCAGCTGTGATTGTTTCTCAGGAGCATCTATATCTCTGCTCAGGTCAATCATACTCCCTAACTGTTATAAACATTGGAGGGGCTTGTGAACTACCTACGTATGAATGCCAAAGGCATGAATCCTTTTATTTAAAAACAAACAAGCAGAGGGGAGGGGGAGGCTGCTGTGTGGCCTGTGTTGATAATGAGATATTAAAATGCAAATGCAACAAATGCTCTTAAAAATACACGTGCTTATGTTGCAGTTTCATCTTGAATGGATCCCTGAGTAGGTTTCCGTTAATCTTTCCTTCATACCCTTTTACTTAAACCTGAAATGGTGCTCCTGGGGATCATTCTCATGAGCTGAGAAGCAAGACCTGACAGTAAAACCAATCTGAAAATGGCTTAAATCTGTAGTGCTGTTGTGCCAGTAGTTATGAAAGCCAGCAGTTTCTGGCTGCATTTTAGGGAAAATTTCACGGGGAAGTCAGATGGTTTTCAATATTATCATCATTATTTAAAGTCTAAGGAAGGCTGTGGCCTGCTTTTCCTATACTATATGTTCATATCTGAACACCCTGGCCTACTTCAGATGCAGTGCTGGGTTTTAGCCTGTTCTTAAAGTGTTGCGTCAGGTTTGTATTATTTTAAACTTGTTTTTTAATATTTGCATTAAGGTTATGTTTAGGTAAAGGCTCATTTTACTGAATATTATTATTTATGGATGGGATTTAAACTATACTAAGCTACTTTGTGAAGTCTTTTGCCTTGAAAAGTGGGATATAAATCCAATCAAAATGACTTTATTGTCCTAGCTATTGGCCATGACAAATCTGAATCAAAAATAAATATAAGCAAAAGGAGTGTTGCACCACAAATACTGGTCTCTATTTAGATCTCTGTGTCTCCCTTACAGTTCACTGCTGTATTAAGTGGGATATAAGCACTTGAATGAATAAATAACTGATAGCCAGAGAAAAGAAACCATGGAGCAAGATGGACCTAGTAAACTGGCACTGAAAGCTGAAAGCATTTTATTCCAGCACCATGAACAGCTCCCTAGCGTTACAGGAGTCTTTCCTGTCACCAATTGATCTTATCTGGCTTGAGGCTGGGAAGGCACTCCTTCTTAAGATATACATAGTTACTTCAACTATGAAATAACATATGGGTTGCCAGGATTTATAGTGGGTGGGCTGATGAGGTAGTAAACAACAGAAGAAATAAAAAATGTAGGTGGCAGAGTTGTGGAAATGTGGTTGACCTGGTCCTCACCAACAAGGAGGAACTGATTGACGAAGTAGAAGCACTCAGAAACTTGGATTTCATGATACACAGGCAAGGAAAAGCTGAATGTAGTTGGACATGCACTCTTGGACTTTAAGAAGGTTTCAAAAAAAACAAACAAACCCTGAAGGAGCTACTGGGTGAGATCTCATGGTCAGAAATACTCAAAGGGAAGGGAGTCCAAAGAGAAATATTGAAGGCCCAAATGCAAACAATACCAACAAGAAAGAAAAGTGGGAGGCATCTAAGGAAACCAGTGTGGCTGCATAAGGAGCTTACAGATGAGCTAAGAAGGGTATGTATAAGAAATGGAAGAAAGGGGAAATCACAAAGGAGGAGTTTACACAAGTAGTCAACAGTTGCAGGGGGGGAGTCAGGCTGGCTAAAGCTCAGAATGAGCTCAGACTTGCAAGAGAGAGTTAGGGTTAAAACAATAATACTGTAAAGGTTTTTTTTGGCTATGTCCGAAGTGAGAGGAAGAACAAGCAAGTGGTAGGTCCTTTGCACAGGGAACACAGAGAAATGCTATTGGGTGACAGAGAGAAGGCAGAACTACTCAACACCTACTTTGCCTCTGTCTTCACCTGAAAGAAAAGTGATGCCCAACCTGGTGATAACAGAATAAATGATGTAAGGAGGGAGCTGCAGCCCAAGATAGGAAAAGAGGTAGGAAGGAAACACCTAGATACTTTAAATGAATTCAAATCTCCAGGGCCTGATGAGCTACACTCAAGGGTACTAAAGGAGCTTGCGATTGTAATCTCAGAGCCTTTCTCTATTATCTTTGAGAATTGTTGGAGAACAGGTAAGGTTCTGCAGACTGGAGGTGGGAAAATGTCCCCATCTTTAAAAAGGGGGAGGGGAGAAGACCCAGGTAACTACTGACCAGTGAGCTTGATATGGATTCTAAGAAAGGTACTAGAACAGATAATTCAACAGACGGCCTGTGATCACTTAGAAAAAAAGGATACTGTGATTACCAAGAAACAGCATGGGTTTCTCAAAAACAAGTCATGCCAGACTAATCTCATTTCTTTTTTTCTTTTTTCTTTTTTGATGAAGTTACAAGCTTGATGGATCAGTGGAATGTTGTGGATGTAGTGTATCTTCAGTAGGGCTTTGACAAAGTCCCCCATGATATTCTTGTGAGGAAGCTGGTAAAATGTGAGGTAAAATGAGGTAACTGTTGGGTGGTTTGGTAGCAGGTTGTCTGACCAAACGCAATAAGTACTCATTAATGGTTCTTCGTCATCCTGGGGGGAAAGGGTTCTGTCCTGGGCCTGTTGTTGTTTAATGTCTTTATAAACAACTTGGCTGAAGGAATTGAGGGGATGCTCATCCAATATGCAGATGACACCAAACTGGGAGGGGGAGCTAATGCTGCAAAGGACAGAATCAGAATTCAAAATTACCTTAACATATTGGAGAGCTGGGCCCCAATGAACAAAATGAATTTCAATAGGGACAAATGTAAGGTTCTGCACTTAGGCAGGATGAACCAGTTGCACAAATATAGGATGGGGGACACCTGTCTTACTAGCAGTACATGTGAAAAGCATCTAGGGGTCTTGGTGGACCACAAGCTGAACATGAGTCCACAGTGTGTTGCAGCCCTGAAAGATAGGAGTTGGGGGTGGGAATCTCCTTGCCTGCACAGATGTCAAATTGCTGCCACTCTAAGGGATCAAAAAAAAAAATATGAATGAAATGTCAAGGAAAGAATAGTGCTGCTGTAAAAGGGTATTTTTTGTACTCTTGCCCCA